CCGGAAATCTTAGGGTTGCTGAAGTTCCATCCCTCCACCCGATCAAGCTCGCTGCTTGACCCCATCTATATTTCACGTTATGTTTTTTCATCACTTCTAATAAGGGTTTCAATGTTTTCTTTCTTCTCAAAGTCTCTGCTGTTAAATCCGCAAAAATTTGGATATTTTTCTCTCCATATGGAATACTTGTTCTTCCTTTAATCTTTTTCCATATCTCCTCTTTATCTCCATAGTTATGGAATTTAACTATTATATCTCTTGGTTTTTCTAATCCTTTTTCTTGTTGGTACTTCCCTATCCTATGCACTCCATCCAGTTTAAAAACATCACCACCTCCGCTTTATCCACTATGGAGTTCAAGATTTTGCCGATTAACTCTTTTAAATCTTCCCCCTGGGTCAACTCTGGGACTCCTCTTACTCTTAGATTATTTCTCCTTTCTCTATTTTCTTGTTCTTCCATCATAAAAAACAGTCTTTTTTGTTCTTTTCTATTATCTATTATCCATCTCTCTAATTTTGGGATAACTTGGGCATGACCCTGAACTTTTTCCTCTGTTTCCTCCATCCTGGTTAGCAGTTGTTCCAATTCTTCCCGAATTGTCCCCATCTCTTGCTTTATTGATAATTCCAAATTTTTAAACATCTCCGCCATTTCCTTTTTATATGGTATTTGCAGATCTCTTTCAGTTTCTCTCGACCCTATACCTTCCGGTGGTTGTTGACTATTATATACCGGTCCCAGGGAAAGTCTCGGACTATTATCCAAACTTAAAAAATACAGAAATCCCCCTGCCTCCACACCTAGTGAGTTAGCTGCTATCACCTATTCTATATACCACAAGATAAGTAAAACAAAATAATATAAGTGGTGAATAATAATACACAAATGATACCTCTTAGGCTATGCAGATATACAAATAATACTAATAAATAATAATTAGAAAACTAGTGCAATATCCCCATATATAAAATATTAAATCCCTAGTGATATATATGATTTATTTTAAATTGATATAATCAATTGCATTTCTATCACTTTTTTGCACAGAAGAGATATTAGTTATCACTATATCACCAGGGGGAATATATGAGGATATTGCACTAGTTTTCTATTCATTATTATTTTTAGTAGATTATTTGTATATCTGCATAGCCTAAGAGGTATCATTTGTGTATTATTATATCACTAGGGATTTAATATTATATATGGGATATTGCACTAGTTTTTGAGTATTTAAGTTGAGCGCTTCACCACTTATATTATTTTATTATCCAAACTTATTTCCAATTCACTTTTTTCTTTCACTCCTTGAGATCTTTCTGGGGTCAAATTTCCTTGTGGTAATACTTCTTAATCAAACCAGTTTGAGGGTTCTTGGACCCACTCCCTTTTGTATTTTTACCTTCATGTCTCAACTCCTCCAAACCTTCAGACCCTCCCGGGGAATCCCCAATTTCCTTCTCTCAACTTAGATAATACAATGTCCTAATGCAAGCACAATGAAAGCGTTGCTTAAATCTGATATACAGAAAAGGAAAATCCAGTACATAAGTCCAGGATATAGAGAGTATATAGGGAGTATATAACAACCCCTGCAGTATGCACGTTATTATCACTCACCCTCCACGCTGGAGTACCTTGGAGTACTTTTCAGTATGCAGTCCTCCCCTGTAATTGTCTTTCTTTGGGGGATTCCTTTGGGTCTCTTTAAGCCTTTATCTTTCTTTCCTTCCTTATTCTTCTGGGTTGGAGGAGGTATGGAAGCTAGAGGAATGGAGGTGGCAAGGAAGTGTGCAGCAGCGTTCCACCCCACACCTCCCCACATCGCTCACACTCGTCTCCCTTGGACTGCTGGATGCCGGGAAACCGGCTGTTTTCTACTGCTTCCAGAGCTCCTCCGCGGCTGCCCACGTGTGAGAGCCGCTATATGCCGCTACGCTCGTCTCCCGGGCAACCCCAGTCCTGCTCCGAAGCCAACGCGAGAGACGCCAAGTGAGAGTGGAGCTCAGCCGTCTCTCCTCTGGACTCGCCGCCACACTGTCCCCGAGACCACTCTCCGGCCGGGTAAGACTCCAGTCACCCTCTAATGCTGCTCCAGTGCAGCTAGTTATGGGACCGGGACTTCATAGGGACCTCATAGGGAAGATGATCGGGGAAGGGAGCGAGGAGTACTCACTCCACGCTCTCCCGTGCGGCCATGTTCAGGCTCCACCCCCACACCAAGTGGTATCTTACCGCATCTGAGTACGCAGTAAGATACAGCACAGCTACTAAAATACTGCATGAGTTATATTATTAAGTCATGCAGCATTTTAGTAGTGAACACATTCCTTAATGTTTCAGCTGTCGGCAGGGTTCCCCGCTGACAGCTGAATGTAAAATAATTAAAAAATTAACAAAAAAAATGGTGTGGGGACCCCATCCCATCTATACCAAGCCCTTCAGGTCTGGTACGGATTTTGAGGAAAACCCCCATGCCAAAATGTTTTTAAAAATGGATTGGGGGTCCCCCCAAAATCCATGCCAGACCCTTATCCAAGCATGCAGCCCAGTAGGTCCTGAACTATACCAGGAGACAAGCCCTCAACATTTGGGGGGGGTGCATTGGGGCAGGAGGGCTCCTCCCCTAAGCACCTTGTCCCCATGTTGATGGGAACAAGGGCCTCTTCCCCACAACTGTGGCCGGTGGTTGTGGGGGTCTGCGGGTGAGGGTATTATCAGAATCTGGAAGCCCCTTTTAACAAGGAGCCCCCAGATCCTGCCCCACGTGTGAATGAGTATGGGGTACATGGTACTGCTTCTCACTCACAAAAAAAAGTATAGTGTAAAAAAATTATAGAAGACAGTCTTTGACATGTCCTTTATTAAAAACAAAAAATAAAAAAGATGTTCCCTGAAGTAGATCCAACGTCAATCATGATGCCCGCTGCCACCACCAACTTCAAAAAAGAAAAATAAATGCTCCGTTCTTGACACTGGCTCCTACCATCTGAAAGCTGTGCTCTCGACGCTGCCCCCCCCCCCCCAAAGCACCTTGTCTCCATGTTGATGGGGACAAGGGCCTCTTCCCCACAACCATGGCCGGTGGTTGTGGGGGTCTGCGGGTTGGGGGGGCTTATCAGAATCTGGAAGCCCACTTTAACAAGGGGCCCCCAGATCCTGCCCCCAGCATGTGAATGAGTATGGGGTACATGGTACCTGAAAGCTGTGCCGGGCTGACAGTTCTTTAAAATGACAGGCAGGCAAGTGAACAGCATGGCGAGCACCCTTACTGTTTTTATTCGCTGAACACATGAACGGCCAATGTGCGAGTTGAACTTATGTTCGACTCGAACATCAGGCCTAGCTCTGGTGCCAGGCTACTTGTCTCCATCTCTTTGCAAAACAAAAGTGTGAGGTAAAAGTTTCTCTTCGACAAACACACACACAGAAAATCAAACCATAGAAAATCGAGTAAACATACGAGTTGTCAATCTGAATCTTTCACAAACATTTATCATGAACTGTATACATTACAATAATACCTTGGTTTAACCACTTCCAGACCGGACACTTTTACCCCCTTCCTGACCAGGGCAATTTTCAGCTTTTAGCGCTATCACACTTTGAATGACAATTGCGCGGTCATGCAACACTGTACCCAAATAAAAATTTTTTTTAATTTATTTTGGTGGTATTTATTCACCACTGGGATTTGTATTTTTTTTGCTATGTAAATGAAATGTCCAAAAATTTTGAAAAAAAGTGTTTTTTTTATAAAATTTTGCAAATAAATAATATTTCATCATAAATCTTAGCCAAAATTTATTCCATTATCTTTTTAGTAAAAAAAAAAAAAATCCAAATTAGTTTATAAGCAAAAATTATAATTTTTAAACATTTTTTTTTAAATTTTTATTTTATTTTTTTATATTATTATTTTTTATTTTTATTTTATTTTTTTACATACTGTCACCCTAGCAGTACAGTGTCACCATGGTGACACTGTACTACTTGTGGGGGGTGATGAAGATTTTTTTTTTTTTTTTTTACACTGATTGCTTTTACACCCATATAGGATGTAAAAGCAATCATTTCTCTTTCTCTCTGTGTGCATTCTTGCACTCATTGAGAAGTACTGAGTGAGCTGTGATTGGTCACAGCTTGTCACATGGTACAAGGCTTTTGTGAATAGCCTTGTACCATGTGACCTCTTTGATCACTCACAGATTTCACACGTAGTAAGCAATGATGTCACAAGTGACATCTTGCTTACTACTTTGCATGTGATCACTGATTGGCCAATCAGTGATCACATGATCGGGACCTCGTATAGAGGTCCCGTCCGACGATCGGTGTTTCACTGTGTCCGGAGGACACAGCGGGCACCGGATCGCGGTGCTGCGCGCTCCCAGGGAGCGCGCACAAGCAGGGTGGGGGGAGGCCATTTATAGACGGCCACCCGACCCTGCAGTGCCACCGTCCGGCCGTTTATATACAATGGCCGGGCGGGAAGTGGTTAACTACTTGCCTACCGGGCACTTATACCCCCTTCTTTACCAGACCAATTTTCAGCTTTCAGTGCTGTCGCACTTTGAATGACAATTGCGCGGTCATGCAACATTGTACCCATATGACATTTTTATCATTTTGTTTCTCACAAACAGAGCTTTCTTTTGGTGGTATTTAATCACCGCTGGGCACTTTACTTTTTGTGCTATAACAAAAAATTGTAAAAAAATTTGAAAAAAAAAATTTTTTTTCTTTGTTTCTATTATAAAATTTTTCAAACAGGTAATTTTTCTCCTTCACTGATGTGCGTTGATGAGGCAGCACTGATGGGCACTAATAGGCGGCACTTATGGGTACTAATAGGCGGCACTGATGGGCACTAATAGGCGGCACTGATGGGCACTGATAAGCAGCACTGATGGGAACTGATAGGCAGCACTAATGAGCTGGCACGGATAGGCGGCACTGATAAGCAGCACTAATGAGGTGTCGTCACGGATAGGCGGCACTGATAGGTGGCACTGATAGACAGCACTGATAGGTGGCACTGACTGGTATCACTGCTGGGCACTGACTGGCGGCACTGCTAGGCACTGACTGGCACAACCACTGGGCAGTGACTGGTGGCACTGACTGGCAGCACTGCTGGGCTGCGCTGATGGGCACTGGTGGGCACAGGTGGGTGGCACTGGTGGGCACATGTGGGTGGGCAAAGGTGGGTGACACTGCTGGGCACAGGTAGGTGGCACTTCTGAGCACAGGTGGGTGCACTGCTGGGCACAGGTGGGTGCACTGCTAGGGACAGGTGAGTGCACAGGTGGGCAGAACTGGTGGGTGGCACTGCTGGGCACAGGAGGGTGCACTGCTGGGCACAGGTGGGTGGCACTGATGGGCACAGGTGGGTGGCACTGATGGGCACAGGTGGGTGGCACTGCTGGGCACAGGTGGGCACACTGCTGGGCACAGGTGGGCGGAACTGGTGGGTGGCACTACTGCGCACCGATCATCGGTGCCGATCCCTGCTCTGACAACTGCCGGTTCTCGGCAGTACATTCCTCACACTTTGACAGCATGAGGAAAGTGCAGCCGAGAACCGGCAATTGCATTTCCCGGTGATCAGCGTGTCATTGGACATGGCTGATCACATGGTAAAACGCCGCTGTGATTGGCCTTTTACCACATCACGCGATCAGCTGTGTCTGTAGGACACAGTGAACACGGAGATCGCCGGGTGCGTGCCCTCGGGGGTCGCACAGAAGAGCGCATTCTGGGGGGACGTCATATGACGCCCTCCCAGAACTGGCCGGCCACAATGTAGCTGTCATTCAGCTATCTGCGGTCGGATATCACCATACAATATACTCTGTTACAGGGCTCTTTTGTCAGAGAATATGTGCGGGATTGTGCACTGTCCCCTCCTTCCTCCTTTAGAGAATATGGAACCAGTATGATTTTATGTAGACATACTGTACATGTAATTTTTTTTTAATAATAAAAGAAATGTAGTAAGATGTGAAAAATATTAGAAATCTACAGCTCTTTCTAAAGCGATGTAATGTAACTATTAGCTGCACCTTGAAAATTAGACCGACTGTTATTTATTTTGTGTTTAAACATATATTATTAAATTTTTTTAATTATGCACTGTTTCATAATATACAGTGAGAACCTAACAAAATTAACACAGATAAAAAAACTATTAAATATGAACAGTATTACTGCATATGTTTGGATAGATATCATAGCAACAACATAAATGTAGTATAATTTACATCTTATGCATAATAAAGCTTAACTTGGAGACTGATAAACTGCATTATAGCATATTTTTTTGTCAAAATGTAAATCGTATATTTATTTCAACATTCTATTTCAATTATTTCTAGCTTATTAATTCCATTAATATGAACAGTCTTCAAGTTTGTAAACTTGCTTTGTAAAGATCCCCACACATTTTCTTCCTTGAATTCCAGGACATGTATTCACTATGCCTGGGCATGGCAGTGAGTAGGCACTGTGTGTCACAGAATTCTAAGAGCCTGCCTTCTGAACTACAGAGGTACTGAGAGGAGGAGTTTCAGGAGACAGACTCAGAGCAGGGATCATATCCTTCATGTGGCAAGGTACCATGGGATATGTAGTCCTTTGAAACTGAAAGTAAACAGCAGACGAAAAGATGGAAAACATACTGAGATTCATGTAGAAAGAAACGGGGCAGCACGGTGGCTAAATGGTTAGCACTTCCGCTTGGCAGCACTAGGGTCATTGGTTTGAATCCCAGCCACGGCACAACCTGCCTGGAGTTTGCATATTCTCCCTGTGATACTCCAGTTTCCTCCCACACACCAAAGACATGCTGGTAGGTTAATTGGATCCTGTCTAAATTGGCCCTAGTATGTGTATGTATGAATGTAAGTTAGGGACCTTAGATTGTACACCCCTTGAGGGTTAGGTACTGATGTGAATGTATATAATATATATATGTAAAGCGCTGCGTAAATTGATAGCGCTATATAAGCACCTGAAATAAATAAATGGTCAGTTGACAGGAAGAACGCACAACACAAAAGGAGATATTTCAAGTAAGCTTATTTTGGATTGTTAAAAAATAACTATTGCTGTATTGCTATTACAATTCTGATATTATAAAATGAGTGTGTATGCTGTGGTCATAGCTTTCCTTTAAACCGCATTTCCACCACCCCATAGTAGAACTACTGCTTCAGGGTGGTAGGGCTGTGCAAAATCAGTATATATACGCCATTGGCAGCTAGGGATGTCAATCATCGGGTCCCGGCCGGAGATTCCCTCCGGCAGCCGGAGATTGCCGCGTAAAGCTGACAGGGGAGAGACCTGTGTGTAAACAACACAGGTCTTTGTCCTGCCAGCAAGGACACACTGCTTTGCATTTCTCTGCACAGCAGAGAAATACAAAGCAGCATGTCCCCCTAATAAAACACACAGCACATAATGTTAAACAGCACACAGTTAACCCTTTGATCACCCCAAATGTTAACCTCTTCCTGCCCAGTGTCATTAGTACAGTGTCAGTGCTTTTTATTAGCACTGATCACTGTATTAGTTTCATTGGGATGTCAGTGGCAGTTAAACCCTATGTTAGAATGCCCGCCGAGACTATAAGTCACCGATTGCCTCCATTACTAGTAGTAAGAAAAAAAAAATACAAATAAAAATTCCAGTACATATACCGCCATTTGTAGACGCTATAACTTTCATGTAAACTAATTAATTTACATGTACTGTGATTTATTTTAGCAAAGACATGTAGCAGAATAAATTTTGCCATAAATTTATGAAGAAATTTGATTTTTAAAATGTTTTTACTGATATGTTTTACAGCAAAAAAAAAAGTTGTTTTTTTCAAAATTGTCAGCCTTTTTTTTGTTTATAGTGCAAAAGGTAAAAAGCGCAGAGGTGATCAAATACCACCAAAAGAAATCTATATATTTGTGGGAAAAAGGGACATACATTTCATTTATGTACAGCATTGCATGACCACGCAATTGTCAGTTAAAGTAAAGCAGCGCCGTATTGCAAAAAATGGCCTGGTCAGGAAGGGGTGTAAATCCTCTGGAGGGCAAGTGGTTAAATATCCTTTTCTAATCTGATGTGGTTACCCTAAGAAGCCAAGTCTAAGCATTACTTTGAAAGCAAGTGCTCTGAGTATAACAGATGGCTCTGAAAAGTCAGACACAGATATGTTGTAGTTGCCAATATTTGAAAAATGATTAGAAAGAAAACTGTGCACTGAGGCCAGTCAAGCATGGACATAATTAAACAGTGGATGTGGCTTTGCCATGTTTTAGATATAATCACCACAGGCATCAGTATGAATACGATAAGTTTAATCAATTTTGTTTATGGGTGTAAAATAAGCCCCATTCTTGGTGTCAGCGGGAGCAAAATAGACTCCATTGATGTTGTTAGTGGGATAGAAAAAACTCCCATGGTTGGTGTCAATGGAATAAAATAAGCCTTGTTGGTGTCAGTGGAAGACATAAGTGCCATCATTGGTGATTGTTGAATTACATAAACCCCTTTGTTGGTATCCCTGGCATAAAGTAAATCCCATATTGTTGGTGTCAGTAGGAACAAAAGGCAGCAGATAACAGATGACAGGGGCAAGATAGTTACAGTGCAGGGTTGGAGAATGCTCACTTACATTTCCAAAAGCCACATAGGCAGTTCCCCTTACCTTCACATTTATAGATGCACTATTTAATTATATAGGACCATTCATATAGTGAATAGGTAACCTGTTAGCAATATTGCTTATAAGTCTTCGGTGTCTATCCTAAAGCATCTGGTTCCAACTTGAAGCTGGAGTGTCGACAAAACTTTACCATGATCCCCTCTTGGATGCTGTTTGTGCTACAGGCATGTCCTTTCTCCAAATCACACTACATTACCTGTAAAATAAGCACTGGGCCAAGCACTCAAGCAGCAGTAGCTTTGCATTAAAGGCTGGTCTTAGATGGTAAATCATAAATCACAAACAAGCACTGGAAGCAGCAATCAACTGTTGATATATGGTAAACATATGAAACAACTTTGGCAATACATTATATAAGTACCAGTCTGGGATATTTGGCAATTGAAGAGAGACAATCCCAATGTTTCGACAGCATTGCTGCCTTTTTTAAGGGGTAATATGTTCAATTTCTCACAAATTTCATCAGGAAATTTGTAATCGGCATAATTAAATTTATGAAAAAGATTTGTTTGTGTCTTTCAATATATATGTAGTATTCCATGTTATATGAGACATTATACTCCTACTATAACACCTAACTCATTTCATTTGTTTCATTTTATTTTATTGCAATTGATCTCATAACTGCATTTTTTACAAATGGAAATGTCAGTTGAGAGCATTAAGTTTGCTTCAGTTCAAACTCCTGTTATTTCTATTCTTGAAGGACAATGGTTTACAGTTCTATGTTTACCTTTTCCTTATAAATCTGCATAGTAGGGAAAATGAGGGTCATGCAAAGCAATCCACTAATTACTGTATAGGAAAGGCCTAAAGTCTAATTTTTTATTCAGCCCTGGGATAAGTTCCATTTAAGCTATAAAAATGAAAAATTATTAAAATCATAGCACCACAACCCAAACAATTCTCTTATCCCTGCTAGAGAAGGGGGATCATTCAGCTGTATAAATCACCAGTGGGACAGGATATCTATATAATAAACACAGGAAAAGAAAAAATGATGGCGCAAGTGAAACTCTTAATTTGTAAAAAATTAGATATTAGAGCCTCAATAATAAGGGTCCATATGAATGTGAACATTTGAGTTCATAGCAAGTCTATACATACAGTATGGACTACCATTAGTAATTAACAGGAAGCCTGGGCCAAACTTCACAACCATACTTTTTCATCTAAAAGTGCTACTTTTATCAAAGTGACTTCTGACACTTCTGTTTTGAATGATTTGGTTTTCAGAAAGTAATTAGGGGTCTTTCTTCAATGACTCTCTTAATGCATTATCCTAACGTGTTATGCTTCTCTAATATTTTCCTACTTTCATCTGCTTGATTGCGGGAGGTCTAATTATCTAGATATCAATCTCTTTAGATTTTTTTTCTTTTTCATTTTTAGCTAAACCTCCCTTCAACTAAATTATGCTCTCTTGTACTTTTTTCAACACTCTTTTTGAGTGCTCTCTTTACTTTAATCTCATTCTGAGATCTTTGGTTTCTTTCTTAAAGGATACATTCACTTTTGGGAACGTGTTACATGTTCCACCCACTTTTAGCACGGAACATGTAACATGTTCCCAATGCTGTAGCAGCTGTCTGATCCCCCCTCTCCCTATGACAGAAGTACGGGGAGAAATTCCCTGTACAAGCTGTCACTATTTTAAAAACAGTGTGTTTGTGTGGGGCTCCGCCCACATGGAGGTATCATGCATTCACAGTGTTCTATAAATGAATGAACTACAAG